GATATGAGAACATGTGAAAAAGAGTAAGTATGTTACTTGTTTAAAATACCTTGATTTTATGGGGCTACAGTAAATTACTTTCAGTGTATAAGTAAATGTCCCAATGATTTTTTTTCCCCTGTTCAAATGCCTGCTGATTTTTCCCCCACCTGAAAAGTGATGAAGTAAAGCCTTTTTAAGATTTGTCTATATTCAACATCTATTATCTTTTCCTTTTATATTGTAAAAACTATACATTCAATATTAATAAAGGATAATCTTACATATTACATGGAATAACCAGAACCAATAAATTTTTTTCTAATCACAAATTATTACCTGCTCAACACAAACTTTAAAAATAAAAATAAAATCACTCATAATCTTACCACTCAGAAATAAAGAATATGGTCCTCATACTCTTTGTGAAAAATGTATGTTTATGCGTGGAGGCACATGAGTGGAGGAAATTTGCAGAGTATGTACAGTAATATAACAAAGGTGATGTACTATATACAGCTTGTGCTTTCTTTTTCTCATTTATTAATAGATCATAAACATTATATCATATCTATAAATTTAATTCTATACCATGCCCTTTAATAGGTGCATACTATTCACAATTTAGATATACCACAATTTATTTAACCATTTATTTATTACTAGAAGGCCCAGTGCATGAATTCATGAATAGGTAGGGTCTGTGGGTGATTGGTCAGCCAATTAAAGGTGGAGCTGGTTAGAGGGAGGGGCTGAGGGCCCATCAGGGGTGGGGCTGATTGTGGGGAGGGGCCGAAGGCAGTTGGCTGTCTCCACCCTCTATTGAGGTAAGGGGTGGAAATCAGGGGTGGGACTGGCCAAGGGGAGGTGTTGCAGGAGGTTGGCCTGATGGCCCCGCCTCCTATTGGAGTGAAGGGGGTCAGTCAGCCCCCACCCCCTGATCTAGCTGGTTTGCTGGCCACAGTGGGCGTCATAGTGACCAGTCATTTTGGTTGTTACGGTGTTCCTGTCACTGGCTTTTTATATATATATTGTAGATTGGACTAATATCTTTGAAAGTTTCAGCAAAATAGTTAGACGTTATGTACCCAAATCAGCTCTTTAATATAAAGGTGTCATTAGCATTAATTATGTGTTACTTCTATTCATATACCTGTTGACAGAGTTTTAGGAATGGTCAAAAATAGAGTGTAAATTCTCAAAATTCTATAGGATCAGTAAATCAATTGTTTATTCTTGGTGTCACTCATTAACAGTGTGTATTTCTGGCTGCCTTGGTTTTCTCAGCATGGTGTTGAATGAATATTGCGAATTTTTCTGATTAGACATTTTATCTATGAGAAGGATAAAGACCTATTCTGCTGCAGGTTGTGGACACTCCAACACCAATGGCCCATTCTGACAGCTGAACCAATTCCAGTGTAAAATTGTAGAGTTAAAATGGTTTTTGGACTTAACATTTGTGCTTCATCTGTTTTCTCATGTATATTTACTCTTTACCAAATTGTATATTTTATAAGTTGACTTTCCTTTCATCATTTTAGAGACTCCTTCATATACTTTTTGGCATAGTGATATTGCACCATATTCTAAATACTCAGTTATATGAATATACAAACAGCATAAATATAAACTATTGTGAATTTAGTCCAGAACCATGAAAACTATCTCAGGAGACATTCTATTAAAATCTATAGTCTAATCATGAAAAATTCTGAAGAATCTGTTTATTAAAGGAATGTCTATTAATATATTCCAAATGAATAATCAACACCATTAAAGAGGTTAATATTTCACTTTTTGTTTTTTAGACACAATCTATCAATAAAATTTCATTAGTTTATGATCACTATAAATGAAGACCAAATAAAAACTATCCTACCTAATAAGAGCAATATGCAAATTAATCATCACTCTGCTACATCCACCAACCATGCCAACCAGCCAATCAGAATGAGTATGCAAATTAAGCCCAACCAAGATGGCTGCGGCCACAGAGAGCAGTTGAGAGGCTTGGAGGAAGCCAAGCTTTCCACACACACTGGCTGGCCTAGGCCTCCACTCAAGGATACAAAGTTTCAATCATAGAAGGTAAACAAATCCCAACAGAAACAGTGGTAGCCACGGAGGGAGCAGGAGGCTTGGCTCCGCTCCAGGCTACAAAGTTTCAATTGTAGAAGGTAAATAAATTCCAGATACCAGGGCCTCCACTTGGGTCACCAGGGGGCATGGGCGGCCTGCAAACCACCACAGGCCCCTAGCCCAGGTGGCCCAATGCCCCCAAATGAATCACCACCCTGATCCAGGACATCCTTCAGTGCAAACCAGCTGGCCCCCACCCATGCACAAGGCCTCTATCCTATCTAATAAAAGAGTAATATGCAGATTGATCATCACTCCAACACACAAGATGGCTGCCCCCATGTGTCAAAGATCCTGCCCCTATGTGGACACAAGATGGCTACCACAAGATGGCCAGCAGGGGAGGGCAGTTGGGAGGCACCAGGCCTGCAAAGGAAGGCAGTTGAGAGGGACCAGGCCTGCAAGGAAGGGCAGTTGGAGGTGATCAATCCTGCAGGGGAGAGCAGTTAGTGGTGACCAGGCTGGGAGAGGAGGGAAGTTGGGGGCAAACAAGCAGTTAGACACCAATCAGACTGGCATGGGAGTGGTTAGGGGGTGATCAGGCTGGCAGGCAGAAGTGGTTAGGGACAATCAGGAAGGCAGGTAAGCGAGCAGTTGGAAGCTAGCAGTCTTAGACTGTGAGAGGGATGATCAACTGCCCAGTGGGATCAGGTCTAAACGGGCAATTGAACATCCTTCAAGGAGTTCCAGAGTGGAGAGGGTGCAGGCTGGGCTGAGGGACCCCCACTCCCCACCCCATGCACGAATTTCGTGCACTGGGCCTCTAGTTTAATATATGTGTGGTTTTTTTTATACATCATTTGAATGAATCACCAAAAACAGTTTTGCCAAATCTACTTTAATGACTACGTAATGAAACTGAAGAACTAAATATAATATTTTGTTGCTTGAAAGGGTCATGCTCCTAAATAGGTTCAACATTTCCAAAACTGTATGTTTACACTATTAACAGAATTAATATGCTTAGAAAATTATTTTTAAAAATAGTATAAATGTAAATTATTATAAATTTGCAAGTTATATGTTTGAATTAATAAAGTTAACTAAATATTTGTTGTTGGGGGGACAAAAAAGGAGCCACTCACAGAAGAGTACAGTTGTTTTAAAATATCCTTAGGTAAAGACTTTGAAATTCTTGAGGAAAAAGAGCTTGTATCATAACTCTTTATTACCTTTAACTCTTTAATTGCCTCTTTTATAAATCCAAATGCATTATAAACTTGTTCTTTAAAAAATTCTCACAACTCCACATGCTCACAAACAACCCACTCCTCTTCCTAAAGTGTTTCATGCTGTCAGTCTCTATAGATATGGAGCCTAGCACAGTGTCCTATAAATAGCCGACATTTCAACAAGGTCAAATGGATCCAACTTTAATGATTCTGTCAGATTTTCATCATTGATATGGAATACATGGAAGTCAGAAATTCTAAAAATGTACTACTACAAGACATACACATCTCTTTCAGATTTTCAGGAACCTTCTGAGATGTATGTAACATACAAAGTGATGGACGGAAAGTCTGAAACACCATGAAGACGTCAATAAAAGATGCAACTTCTTCTCTTTTGAAAAGAAATGTAAAAGATTCAGGCACCTATATCCACAGACCTGGCAATATATACAGGTTCACCCTCAAAAAACCAAATTCTCTATGTTCGAACACTTGGCATCTGTGCACGTCTCTTTCTTATTTCATGCATGTTCCCACAGCCCCACGTTCTGAATGTAAATCCAGTCTGAAGGAGAAAACTCCTCCAGCTGCTAATGTGAGGACTTCCAGCACTGCTTTCTGCTTAATGCTGTCCCTGGGGAGTGAGAGGGGGTGCTGGCACTCCTGACTATGCACCAGAAGCAGAGAGCCAGCAAACTAGGACACTTCAAGGACTCTGAATAATTTCAGTAAGAGTTGAGAGAGAAGCAGACTCTGTTTCCATAAAATGTATTAGGAAGCACAACTTTCTTATTTTGTTGGTCAAGAAGGAAAATAAAGCACAAGAATGAAAAAGCGAACTTGTTGTGATAACGTGCTTACTTTAAATCTGGGGAAATGCTGAGGTACACAAATAACAGCATTAGAGAAAGTGACAAAACAATTATCTTGACATAACTATTCCATACAGTTAAACATTTAATTTATTTTTGTGTTATCTGTATCCTAAAGTTAAACTATATATTTCTTGCAAGTAAAAATTACACTTTGTTTCAGCAAATAAATATTTATGATGCTGATTAAAAAAACAAACAAAAAAACTATCCAAGAACAAAAGTTTATAAAATCTCAGAGCTCCTTTTTGGTAAAAAGTTGGAAGATCCATTGTTAATTATTTATGAATAGATCTAACCCTTCTAGAAGCAGCTACATATATGCCTGGTATGTCAATATAACTGGGCAAAATTGATATAAATGTTATAGCCATGATACTGAAAACATATTTGAAAAGTAAACCAAAATTGCTCATAGAAAAGTTTATTGCCATTCTTTAAATGAGAGTATAACAGACATTTATGAAAATTATAAATATTTAAAAATTAGGTTCAAAGTGCATGGTAGACTCCAAAAGTCAGCAAACTTTGCAGGTCTCTCTCATGATCACTTCATCTTCCTTCAAAGCCACAGACAATACATAAATGAATTAAGTGTGGCTGTGTTCCAATGAAACTTTATTTACAAAACAGTCATCCAACCTATAGATCATAGTTGGCCAACCCATGATGTAGATTATATATTATTAATAGTAGCATTAAATGGGATAAAGGATAATTTAATATTTTCATAGGTAAAAAGATTTGTGACATTTTTCATATCTTTATTGATTTTTAAACAAACAAACAAACAAACAAACAAACAAAAGCTTAAGTAGCACATAAATCTTACCTGGTTAGGTATCCTCAATGGGGGCCTTGGACCTCCAGGGTACCGAGGTGACATAAAAGGCTATTAAAATAAAACAAACAAATAAACAAAACCAACCAAACAAACACATAAAAAACCAGCCCAGTGTAAAATACGGACCTGAAAATAAACTGCTTTAAAATATTTAGAATTATACAAAGCATAAATCAATTTAGTTTCATATGTGATTGCTTTTAGGAGAATAAATGCTTTGAAAAAAGATTACTATATTTTATTTTTATATAGCCTATCTGGAAAATTTTCTGAGAAAACTGTAAAAAACACCAAAATGAGTAAAATATAGTAAAAAAAAAATTTTTAAATGTGAATTATTAATAAGGTAATGATATCTAACTGGCAAAAAGAATTAAGAAATTTAGACAATAGAAGCTCAAGGACTTCAGGAAGTAGCTTACTGACTACATCATTATACAAATTGGGTTCTAAGTATATGCTTTTGACTGAACTATCCAGTTGTGCTATCAATTTTCTTTAATGATTTTAAAGTTGCCAACTTTCTTCACCTTTTCTTTTGTAATTTTGTTTAAAATGGTAGATATTTCTTTTCTAAGAGTCACTGTGGTAAAAAGATCTTTCGCTTTACTTCACTGTTGTGATTCAAATTGATTATAAATGTTTAAAGTTAAAATTTTTAAATATATTTGGAGATTAGCAGATTATGAAGTGTATACTTTAACAAAAATTGGTTTCATATTAAAATCCTATTCTATTTATGTTGTTAGATGAATCAGAAGCTGCTATGTTGACTCTGTTAGTCCAAGAACTGTCTAAAAAACATCCTAAAAGTGTCACTTTAGTGATTAGTCAATGTTGAGTGGAAGGAAAGTATTTTTGATCAGTCAGATTTGGGCATCAAAATTTTTGCAGTTATTCCGAAAATTGTTAAAAATTCAATGTTTATTATATTTTGTGTAAAATAATTTTGTCTACTTATATCACAATACTTAAATATAAGATTATTCCTTATATGGAATATAAGCAAATTATCAACTATAAAGTGTTGAATATTATAAAGTAAAATATTAAGAATGAACTAATAAAATAAGTCAATTTAACAAAGGCTTGGGCAAGCCAGATTTATAGTACTTTATATAATTAAATTCCACACTTATAATGTATTTTCTAGAAACATTTTTAGAAATTAAGTCTGTAGTTCATGGTTATATATATTTCCCAGGGCTATTTTAAAAGAAGCATGTGAAAAATAAAATCCTAAGATATTTAGGCTATAAAGCATTTTTTAATATTAAATTAGTGCTGTTGTGACATAAGCTCTTAATATTCAGATTGATCCTTACATGAAGTTATCTGTTAACCACCTACGTCCTCAACTGCTTACTTGCTGAGTAATGACACAGCAACAGAACCCAAAAGAGTTTGTATACTAGCAACTGAGAATATTCTATACTGATATTTGTACTTCATTATTCACAAATTAATCTATTTTCAAATATAATATAAGATAGTAAAACAAATTTAAATCATTTATGGTAAAATATTAATCTAAGAGATTTCCTGTAACAATATAAAGTCCATCTACTGACAGATGTGAATACTCTCTACCTTAATAATCTCAGAAGAGTAGGTTCTTCAAAAAAAGTCCTTGGCTATGAAATGTGCTTACTCTTTATATTTGGTACAAAATTTTCTTTTTTAATAGTTTGGGCATCAAATACTTGCATAAAGGGGTCATGAGGGGAATCAACATTTTAACTAGGAAAGTCTTCCCCTTGAAAAAAGTTATTTCTGTGTGTGCAAAACACATTTGACTAGAAGTCAAAGCTCTGGATTCTAGCTTTTGCACTCCCACTAATAACAGAGAGGCCTGAGCCAATAACCTTTCAGCACTTTAGTTTTTTCAACCTTAAAATGAGCAAGTTGGACTGATCTCTAAAGTCCCTTAGAGAAACCAACAAAATAAAACCCATGATTCTGTGTTGATTATTCCCAGCATTACCTTTAAGTATAAATATTAATATATTGTAATATCTATAAGTATTTCAAGTGTGTGGGAGTAGGGAGAGGGGGAGGGGTGAGATCATAAGCTATGCTCCTAAGACACAAACCACCTTTATTGAGGAGCTGGGAAAACTTATTTTCATGGTTTTCAGAGAAAAGGAAAACGCAGTTGAAAAAACAAAACAAAACTCCAACAAACAATTATGCTCTTTGTTCAGAGCAAAGGTCAATAGGGATAATTTAAAAAGCTACTTATTGATTAAAAGGTGTGCTTGAGATTAGTTCATTCAACAAATATTTATTAAATACCTACAAAGGCACTGTTCTAGTGGTTGGACATATCAGTGAATAAAGCAGATAAAGATCACTGTCCTCTGCTTAAAATTTTTCAAGGTTCACAGTCTTGTAATTAATAGGAGAAATAATTTTCTGGGAAAATTGTTTTCTACTATCAGTCCACTAATCTGGAACAAATAAAATGTTCTCTTCACCAAATGGCAAGTATTGATGAAAACTCGAAGAAAATAATATTTCAATCTGGTGCCTTCCCTCAAAAGTCATATTACATCATCCCTAATTTATAGACCTATTAAAAAGTTTCCCAAATAAGACAAAATTCATGGAGTAAGATTCTTTATATGAGAGAGTAGTATAGTTAGCACTGTGACATATGGAAACTACATTTACAGGCACAAATCCTTGTTCCTACATTTTTACGTTGTCTTCCCAGAATGAATGGGATAACTCAAAGTAAATAAAAATATATACAAAGTCAGAAAAATCAATAAATATTTGATGACAAAAATGAAAGGGATGAAGACAAACAGAAATACAAATCAAGTGTCCATCTCATTTATTCAAAATAGTCTTTTAAAGAAAACACAACATTTATAATCATAACTTATTTCAGCATAAATGTCATTCAATTTTAAAAGATTATTAGTTTCAATTATATTAAGAATTATAAATGGACTTTTACACTTCTGTTTTCCTTATTTTATTTTTTTAATATATTTTTTTGATTTTTTACAGAGAGGAAGGGAGAGGGAGAGAGAGTTAGAAACATCAGTCAGATGCATCCTGCATACCCTCTACTGGGGATGTGCCCACAACCAAGGTACATGCCCTTGACCAGAATCGAACCTGGGACCCTTGAGTCTGCAGGCTGCCGCTCTATCCACTGAGCCAAACCAGTTAGGGCCACTACTGCTTTTCTTAAATTCTATTTTCTAAAGAGACATTTTCCTTTCTTCAGTGCCCTTTCTGCTAGTGGGAAGTAGTAGTCTCCCTCTTACATGGTCTTCCATAAGCAACTTAGTGTTTTATCTCAATCCCTAGATCAGAAGAAACCAGTCTTTCTCTTTCTCTACACTAGTTGGAGATAGTTTTCTCAGTCAATTCTTTCCTTCTATGAAGATCCCAGACCTCCCTCCAAGGAATGGTTTCATAAATAATTTACCAGTACTGAAACTACAGGTGGTAAGGACCATTTTTAGACCCTAACTCCTTACAAGATCAAAGTAGACATCTTACATTGCTCAAATGTTGTTAACATTTTCTAACATTAATAGCTTTTAAAAAACCCAATAAATATGATTTATCCACAGCAGAATAGTCTCTCTTTCTTGAGAATACTCTGTACTCTCCTTTCTCTGCCAAGTAAATTTCTACTAATCCTCCAAGGGCCAGTTTAAATGTCACTGCCTCTTTAAAGTACCTTCCTAGGCTCCTTTCTCTCTACTTCCTTAGCACTCTGTTCACACCATTGTCATAGAGTACACTGCAAGGAGACACGTGCCTTGATATATAGAAAACCCACTTCAGAGGAAAGAGCACAAAACTGTATCAGGCAGTCATTATCTTAATGTGAGGTGGCAAAATGTAATCCTATCTAATAAATAAGGAACATACTAATTGACCTTCATGCTGTCGCAAAGATGGCAGAGCCCACAGCCAATAAGAAGGGAATATGCTAATTAACTGCCCCTCCCTCAAATATGGAGCACCCACAACCACAAGATGGTGATGCCCAGGCCCTTCAGCCCCCCAACCACCCAAGGCCGCCCGAGGCTGAGGCAACCAGGGCCAGCTAAGGCTTTAGTTGCTGGTAGTTGCAGCAGCAGAGATGTGAGGGGAGCGTCACCTTCCCCTTATCACAGGGTCGCCTCCCACCCTTGAAGGCTCCCGGACTGTGAGAGGGGGCAGGCCAGGCTGAAGGAACCCCTCTCATGCATCGGGCCTCTAGATTATCCATAAAATAAAATTGATATTTCCTAGATCCTTAAAATTGATGTAGCAATGTATAAATCACCTTAAATCTTATTTAAATATTTCAACGTGACTTTAGAAACCCTTTAACTCTTAGGGTTTAAGAACAAATGGATAAAGAAAAATTTTAGTCATTAAAAAATAAAAGTTTTTTTTAAAGTACCATTCATTTAACCACTTTCTATATACTATGTTTTATTTTATGAGCATAATTTAGAACATATCAATGATGAAGAGAAGAATAACACTAACTTCTTTAGAGGGAACAAATGTAGCGTTTACAATAGTTTATGCTTCTGAAAATTTGGAAGTCTGAGGTATATTCTAAAATATATAATTATGCACAATTTATGTAATTCAAAGTAACTTTGAACTTTTTTGAGGACAAAAATTATTCATGTGCAATTTGCTTCTAATTTTGAAAAGAATAATGAATAACATTTTTCTAAATGACTAAAAGAAATACTATACAATTACCAAGTTTAAAAAAAATATGAACTTCAAAACAAATAAAAATCCCTTGAAGTTTAACAAGTTCTTAATTGTACAATTATAGTAAAATTGGAATTTTATTATTTTATTTGAGTATGCCTTTTGACGACATTTGTAGAGTAGAAAGTTTTACTCTGTAGAGTTTAAAAGCTTATTTCATGTACAACAGACCAAATTTCTTAACCAGCACTTCAGTTTTCTTACTGTGACATTCTGCTACAGCAATACATTTATAGAATAAAGGCAGGTACACATACTTCATTCTTACAACCAACTGACCACAAACAAACTGTCTGACTTCG